CCTCATCCGCGGTGATGTCACGTACGCTGAGCTTTCTTAAAGACGGCATTTAAGCTAACAAGGCCACAGAAATCTTGCGCCAGCAATCAAGCGATCAGATGAATTTCGAATCAAAATGTCTCAGTTCCCTCCAGTCACTAGTGGGAAGCATCGTGAGACTAAGAGCTTTGCTGCCATTATGGATGAGACAACTGGATTCATGGATTGATGGTGCTGATTCTAAGATGCACATTCTTGGTGTTTTCATTAACCTATGCAGTATTACTTGATATGGTGCACTATGTCGGATTCTTGACGATGCTGGACAACGGACTCCTACGGTATAGTCAATACACTGAATCAACACTCGTTACATAAGCCCGGGTCGAACACATCACAGCAAAGTCGAAGAGAAAAAAGGACGAATAGAATTAAAAGAGCATACTGAAAATGAGCCCGTTTTCATGGTTGGTCAAGAGTAGAAAGAGATTGCAGGTTTGCTAAAGGATATTACCAATATGGGAGATCATTGCAGCAGTGTTGTGCAGTTTGCGCCTCGTATGTAACGGTCTCTTTACGCGCCTTAACGACTCCACACGCCACACGAGAGTGAAGAATTGCGGTAGAGTAAGGTCTTGTCGCATCAACACCAGATGGTGCGACAATAGATTCACAGAGTGTTAGGTTTGGGAAAACAGGAAAATACGACAAGTAATGTTCGAATCCATGATATTAGGTTCAAGACAAAGTATATTGTAAATGGCCATCTGCACTCGGACATGAAATGCGCAAACTCGGCACTATTGGTATTGCGACATTGTCAGCATGCGCATACAAATTGATACGAGGGCAGAATAGCCTTTTCAGTTTGCTTTCATCCGAAGAAACGAACCACAGGACACCACACCGTCGCCTTTCGGAAACCACTAGACGTCTTTCACAGTCATGGGACCTTACGCCAAAGGGACCACATCCTACCTCGGTGCTCTTACCAACCTAGGCAAAAGAAAATAGTCTCAAAGTACCCATTTGTCACGTGTCACACCGGAACTCTTGCATGAGCTCGATCACCGTGGGCATCGTAGACCTGGACTGTGGGGCAACTCCAACATCCTTCATCACATGCTGCAATCGCAGCAAAAAAACTCTGAGCAAAAGCATGTGGACCCCAACACGCAAGATGCCGTTCTCACTATCCAAATTCGTCATTCCGTTTATGAACTCAAACACTAAATGACGAAAAAAATATTCAAACAAACTCCACCAAAAGGCATCGCTGCAGAATTTCTGCATCGCAAAACCCACAGCGGGTTGAACTCTGTCTTTTTGCACCTGCCCAACTCCACATGAGAAACTCCGCGCCCGGAATATCCCTCCATGGAGCAACACGCCGATTACACAACCAACGTCTCCAACTCGCCCCCGAACGGAACCACCATAGTATGCCCGTTCACATTAACTCGCAACCCCCGAACCTCGGCTACGACTCATGTGCACGCCCTTGTCCACGACTCTCCCCTTCTCTCCCTCCATCATCGCCTCGCTAAACAAACGCTCCTCCAACGACCCCTGTCCCTCCAAACCATCGTTTCGCAACCCTCGCAAATAACTCTGTAACAAGACAAGACGAGAGGGAGAGAACAACACCACGTGATAACTTACCTCCCCCCATAAGCTGCCGATCTTATCTTCCCCCCGGCTTGGCTTGGCTTCTCCCTCCCCCGAAAATAGTGATGAACTTCGAAACAAAACAATACAAAATTCCTTGCTATATAATGTGCTTGTAATAATCACATCACAATCACCTATTCTTCCCGTTTCAATATCAACGAGCAAGAAGATAAGGCGGGCAGGCTGCGCGTATGTTTGGCAAGCCACAAGCCGTGACGGGTCGTCGGCCGTAATCATGGGCCGGCACTCTCCTCTGGGCGACGACGACTCGCGCGCGCAGGCGCAGGCACAGGCGCAGCGCAGGCAGGTTGCGGAGCGTTTTACCGACATGTACGGCGTAGTATTGTGGCTTTGTTTTGCTGGTTTACGCTGACGCGACCCGCCCCACGTCGCTCAACGGGTTTTGAGGGCCGTTCGTGTTCGGGGAACGCGTGGGTTGGGTTCCCGTTTCCCCCCCGGGTTGCGTATGTGCGTGGGTACGGTCGGGATAGTTGCTTGCGGGGTTGGGGGTGGGAGATTGGGAAGGTGCTGGGTACTTATAAGCCATGTACGCAGGAATGTAGTAAGTGGATGTGTGTAATGAATGTGCCGCTGGGGTGCCGTGTCGGGGGGAGTGAGGAGAGGGAGATAGGGGGTTGTGCGGGGAGCAGGGCTTACGAGGGTGACTTGGCGTGCAGTGGTTAATGCGAGCGTTTCTGTGAAAGGGGAGGTTGGGGGTTTGGATAGGAGTTCACCAAGGTGAGAAATGTGGTTGTAGTGTGTGTGGGGGGATTGATTGTGACAGTCTATTCTTACACTGTCATGTATCATCGTGATCCCTATGAACGCTTGTTGTTGCTTTTTCGCTTTTTGTAGCCTCTTCACCATGCTATTTATAATTTACCAAACCAAAGTTTTGTTAGCGGACTTGACAATGTAGGAAGATGTTGAGAACGCAAGATGATGTAGAGCAAATGCCCATGGTCTTTTGACTAACAAGATGAATCACCGAGAGTCGTACTTGGTCAATTCTTACGGTCATATGTAGTACGGTCTGGACCATGTACGTACTTGGCTGCCCAATGCCATTTTTGTTGTGCAAGCTTACTGCCTTCCTAACAAGCCCCCGAGTACTTCGTACCGCGTTTTGTCCATTAGTATTCTTTTTCTTTTCCGACGAAGATAGTCCACATTGCAGCTGAAATGTACAGAGTTTGCCAAGACACTCCTTTTCGTTAAGACTATTGTCACCCCCAGGTTGTTCCTTAGTGGAGAGACTACTGAGCCTAGTAGTAGTAAAGCAGCTGTGACTTTGAAGACGCATGTAGTGAAACTGTTGATCAATGTATACATAAGGGTCTTCGACTCTATATTTGACATGGTTAGAAGTATACGCGAAGCTGTTTTCAGGGAGTTTCAGCAGATAAGTATGGCACTAAATCTGTCGCATATGCCCTCCGCAAGCCAAGTGCATAGTAATATGCATACCTATAGTTAATTCCTCGCCATGAACTTCCGCACCAGTGGTTTTCAAAGACGATGCAAATTGGTATAACAAATCAATATGTCAGAGCTTATATGGAAAACACAAAAAGATTTATCCAGCCATAAAGGTGACAGCACTCAAACATACTCTGGAGACATGCAGTGTGATTCGCTAGACACAAAAGTCACGCGGTAGATATAGGAACACATCGCTACGGATCTACCCATCGATGCGCACCCTCGTACCAGAGAAGTATAGCATATTGAAGATCTGCTCTGTCAAAAGGAAAAAGAAACATTGTCTTTACCAAATCCACCTCACTATCCCTTATGGTACAGACCCTCTCGCGTATGTACCCTATTATTAAATTAGACGTTACCCTTCCCGCATTCTTACATGCTCCGTCCAACGTCGCGTAACCCGCTAGCAGCGGCTATGCACCCGAGTAATTCACACAAACGTAGTGCACCTGTCGTATCTGCAGCGACCATCAATAAGTTAGAAATCGCTACTCAGGACACTACTCTGATGCGCCGTGCAACAAGCGGAACCCCACAGCGCTCTGCGGCACAAGTCGGATGTGTGTCTGGGCCTTTTTTTGTTGGTAATGTCCTCTCTCCTATTGTCGACGCATGCAAATATGATCAAGAAAGGCAATAAAAAAGTAGTGCAACTTGGCTTACCGAGATGTAAGCGGCTAGAACAACCCTTGGCGGTTACGGCCAGGTGGATATATGTGCAGTCGTACACTCGTAACGCACGTAAGGCGTTCTAGAAAGAAAAGGGGTTGTTGTTGCGCCGTGAGTACTACCGATACAACCGGTACTTATTCAGGGCATATGGGCGAGTTGGGGTAATCACATAGCAATGTAGGGCGTTCCTTGTTTGTCAGCGAGGGACGTTGGACAGAGAGAGACCATTGTGTTAATGGCGCTGACTAGTTGTGTGGGCTGTGCCTAAGCTGTGCGTATACAGTAGCTGTACGAAAGCCCCGTTTCCTACGCAACACCCTCGTCCGCGTTGTCCGGAGTTCAAAAGCCGCAAAAGCTGGGGCAGCGACAGGTGCTGTGTCTGGCAATATCCCTGTTGGCTGTTGTACTCTGACCGAACGCGTTACCTGCGACCATGTGTGGGTGTGTGACGGGGCCGTGCGTATAGTACTAACTAACTAAGCTAAGTAGTCGGAAAGGCGAGTTTGTATGGTTTAACTTTCTGTCAAAGTGACACCAATTTTGAGAGTGCGTTTCTGAAATGGCCTGGTCGTTTTGTACACATGAGCATTTGAGTGTTGCTCACACAGGAGATGTGACTTTCTGATTCAAGACGTCGGGACGAGCATTCACCCTCCCGCCTTGGCGTCAGGTACCCGAGATGTGCTGACGAAAACCCGTGCCCCCGAACCCTGCGTAGAATGTGCGTCTCAACAAAGAGATTGTTCGCGCAATCTGTATGGGCGTCGAGTGCTTTAGTAAGCGGAAAACACTTTATCGATGCCACGGCCTGTTGAATTGTACCCTAGCAGGCCGCTGACGGGAGCGAAGTTTGCGCAAGTGAAGCAAATTTCAGGGCACAGGCTGTGCTGACCAATGGACGGCCTCGTAAAGTTTGGCCCAGCTGTCTTGACGTGGAAATTCGATATTTGGAGCCAAACTTCACCATGCTTCTCTTTGGCCTGGCATGAAACAACAGGACACAAGCGCTCGTGACACGGCCCGACTAATATTGTTGGGCAACCATGGTGCAGCGCCTCGTGCAACGCCACTATTAGTTCCAAGGACGAGGCTGGTGTGAGCCAGAAAAACAATCGTGTTCGGCGACGACTAGGAGAAAAGGGACTTGTTCGCAAAAGCTTCGAAAAAAGTACGGCTAACGGCATGTTCCCAAAATGAAGCGTACCCCAAATCCCCGGAGAGTCCATGTGTCGTCATCGAATTTCCGACAGCTAGTCAGGCATACGGCCTGCTACGTCCGGGTGTGCGGTAGCGGGCATGGCTTCCCTGTAGATTGGCGTAAGTAGCCGGTACCGCGCTCGTTAGGACGAGCGAAGTGTAGCAACGGTCCTCGCGACAAGTATCCCGAGATCCGCGTGCGCCTGCCGGACAGGTTGACGGCCAATATGCGTACGTCTCAGGCCCAGGTTGGTTGCAGATGAGGATTTTGATGAGAGGTGCGACATGGCCATGGTCGTGGTAAGGGGCGCACAGCGAGGCTTGTCGCTGCCAGCTGCTGTGTACAAGCCACTTGACTTTGCGCAAACAAAAAACAACGACGAAATGCCGCAACGTCGGGTGCAAGGAAATGCGTAGTGGCTTTGGGCATGAACCGAGAGGTAGTCTAGCCCGTGTGGGAAGTCGCCTTGTGCCGATCTACTACGGTTGATGATCAGGCCGTACGCGGGTCATCACAACCAAGACGATGCCAGTAGATCAGTAGTACGACTTGGAAGATTTGGGCGGCTGGATTCCGCCAGCTTCACCCTACAACACGAAGTCGTGGCGGCTGAGACACTGCGTCACCAGCGTCTGCGTATGTACGTAAGTACGTATAGTTCGACAAAATTATTTTTGTTAGAGCGGAAAGGGGGGGAGGTTTGATCTGCATCGGGGCTAGACCAGAGGATGGATGCACAGGGTGAAAATACTGTACACGACTGTGGAGCGCTGCGTAATTCTCACGAAACGTGGACGCACAGACAACGTTCACCCAGGGCAGATGTGAGTTGAGGGGATGGGGATGCAAAAAAAAAAGTTACAGATGTTTTGATTACCAGACGCAGAATTTGCTAATGACCACACAAAGTTTCGGACCGGTTTCCAATAACGGGCAGTTCATGGATCGACTCATTTGCTAGTATCCTCTAGCCCACAGCCGGGCTTCACTTTGTCGGCCTGTCTAACGGCACATCTGCACGCACTCGGGCAACTTGGCACGTGCCATGATCGGGGATGGGGAGCGTGGTCTGGAACGTGGCGGTTAATGATGCTCTCCACCCCTTCATTCCAAGGCATCCCGGCTGTCGTGTTTTGGGATCCGTCGTTTGTAAGAGACCAACATGTAATAGTAACCAGGACGTGTGCATGTTACACATGTGGCAGGACAAGCGCTGCATGCTGCACCGGGGCGGGCCACCCTGTCGAGTCTGCCCGCCTACAGTTGCGCCAGTGGGTGGCTGCTCTCACCGTAGAGATGTAAGTATTCTAGGCAAGTCGATGTGTAAGTACATGGACAGGGAAATACATGCATGGCAGGGTAGGCGAGCAGCCGTATCCCGGAGGAAGTTGAGGTCATCGCCCTGGCCCCCGAACACTTACCGGATGGCCCATGGAACTCTTCGGCCCAAGAAACGTGGCACGGCCAATCAGCACGTCGTCGGGGGTTTGCAGTCTGATTAAACCCAACCCTCGACTGCATGGATCAAGCGTTTTTCTCAGCTGGGCTGACGAAGACTATTGCCCCGCCTTGCTTTTGCTAGTTTCCCCTAGCTGTCCCGAAACGCGCAGCCAGGCCCATTTGTATCCAGTACGCCCCGTCGTTCCCGTCCACAAAACAACATCACAACAACAAAAAAAGCAAGCCTAATATGTTCCCACAAACATAAACACCGCCCATCACCTGCACACCATCTTGTCGTCGACTCTCCGCCACAGCACACACTAGGCACCAAGCCAACATGACCACCACTATTGCTCTTCCCTATGACGACTTGCGGCCCCATGTTCTCCGGCCCAAGAAGTCCTTCTTCCAGCGCCTCAACACCCCCGACCACCTTATCTCTCGCATGCGCTCCCTCAAGGTCGACGACTCCGCTTCCCTCCTCAGGCTGTCGTCCGACCGTTCACGAGTATCTACTGTATCCCTCCTCTCTACCCCGGACTTTGACCGCGACTACTTCTCCGACGTGACCAAGCATACCGAACTCGAGCGACCAGTCTCCTGTGCCGTCCTTTCACCCCCAACCTCACCAATGGAAGGCAGCTTCTTTCCCATCCAGCAGTTCCTTGCGCCCATGGACCGGAAAACCAGCAGAGAGTTTGTCCAAGGCATGCAAACCTACGTCCACTGGAAACAGGCTACCTACGAATCGACCATCAACCAAGCCCCATCCACCTCGCCACCTCAAACCCCGCAAAGCTCCTACTCCTGGACCTCTTCAAAGAGCTCCCGCAGCGAAATGTCCGACGAGGAGATGGATGACTGGCTCGACAAGCCCATGGATGCCGATGTCCATCGCTTCCGCAAGCTATCTGCTGCATCTCTCGAGAGCCTGCCCTCATCCGATGAGTCCGAAATCAAGATTCACGTGATCCAAGAGCAGCCCGATGAAGAAGAAATCGCCGCCCAAGGCAACCGCCGCCAGCTTTCCAGCATGTGGCGCGAAACCTGGTGCTGGGAAACCAACAGCCAACACCGCACTGCCAACGACCAAGGTTACGAGATTGTCCTACCAACATTCACAGCTGACGACAACTCCTCGGCCAAGTGAAGGGTGTTGTCGCAGTCTGGCCCGCGCTAAAATTACCGTGAGCTTTTTTTAAACCCACCTGGCTTTCTCCGTGAAAGCCACAAACGCGCATCCGCTTTCGTCTCAGCTGCATCAAGCCTGAATGACGTAGCGCCCGGCGCCGGCGCCACCGCGCCACCTCCCGAGTACCAAAAATCCAACCGATTACTCGGGAGCCTATTAGACAGGAACACTTAGACTCTAGTTGCGACAAACTTGTAAGCCAGTTTCACCCAAAGGAGCGAAGACGAAAAAAAAGAGAAGAAGATGAAGGACAAGACCACCCCCAATCCCCAACCACCCCCCTTTGCATGTGTCACAAAAGCTCGTTGCCAGCCACACACAGCCGCAGCAGAAGCAAGAAAACTAAGAAGCTTGGGGACACAAGGGGTCAAAAGAGAGAAAGGACTGATAGATTTAACACAACGTCGTTGTTGACGGGTTCAACGGACGCCGTAGCATGAGGATCACCACCAGCGATGAACATCACATAGACCATATATACCCCCCAACCCCAACACAGCAGCTCAACAGCGCTTTGAGAAGATTTTCCTTTGTTCAGATACCAATGTTTTTTTTCTGGCGACTCCATTGAGTCGCGTTCAGTAGATACCTTTTCCTTTTCATAGTTAACTATTCTTTTATACATCATCGCTTTTCTCTGCCTGTGTGTGTGTGTGCCTTGAACGTGCCTCCCGCTTCCCGCTTCGATCTTCCCCCCCCCTTGACGCCCTGCGATCACGCCACTATCTCGACAACGAAAAAGAAGCAAAACAGACGAGGGATTGCCAGCCACACAAAGGATACGAGTGCGAGTATATTTAGAGCGACACAAATGAGATGTGAATAATGCAAAAAGGTATAAAACTAAAAACAGCACCAGAAAGTCGCACATGTGACCAAGTCCCCCCCCCCCCTTTTTGTTCTCGCCAGTGAGAATACATGTCAGAAAAAAACAACCATTACACGTAATCATAAGCCCGCCTTCAAATCCACTCATAGACTTTCTCTCTCCCCCCTCATAAGTGTAAGAAAAAAAGACCATATTGTCTGTTTTCTCGCGGAGAGTCTTACAACATATCCCTCACCCTCCCCCCCATCTTCGGATCCTGAAACGGTGACCTCACAGATTCACTAACATCAACCTCCGTCGTCACTGTAATATTCCCCAACTCATGCGCGCCGCCGGCGCGGCCATGCAGAGATGTATGGCGATGCAGCCGCGCAACACTCTCTGTGCTACTTCGCGCATCGCCAGCGCCAAGCGCAGCGGGGGAGCTTCTGCCTGAGGAGTTGACAGAGGGGGCAGCGGTATCTCTGGTTGTTTGGTGCGGCACGTGGGTTGCGTCGATGGTGGTAAGCATGTAGGATTTCCCGTCGCCCATGGCAGCATGCGCAGGTGCGTCTCTGCCGTCGAAGAAGCCGTGATCAACCTTAGGTGAACCCAGGGGTCCGTAGCTTTTGTTCGTCGAGCGTTCCTTAGTCCCTGCCGCATACGCATCAGAGAAGTATTTTGGCTGGGTTGTCTTGTGGGAGCCTTTGCCGTAGGTGGAGACGAGGATGGAGCGGAAGAGGGGTTTGAGGCAGGGCAAGTTGCCGGCGACCATGCCGACGTTGCATTCTTGCACTGTCCAGATGGTGAGGTTGCGTGAGTCCCACATTAGGTCGCCTGCGCGCCCGTAGTTACCGATGTAGGAGAGCTTGATCATTGAGGCGGCCGTGGCGAAGAGGCCGAGGCCGAGGATGCAGATTAGGGAGGCTTTGTGGCGCCGATTCATTTGCACGCCCCAGAGCATTGGGATCTGTGTGTGGGGGTACGGTGTTAGAGAGCTGTCACTTTGTGTGGGGGGTTGGTTCGGAGAACGACTTACGGGTATGCCGATGGAGAAGGCCAGATCGGTAATCATGTTGAGGACGGTGTTGAGGTATCCGAGGATCTTGATTTGCGTTACGGTCCAACATGTGCCTTTTACTGTTAGATCCCACATCATGCGGACATCGCTACATTGCAAGAAGACGGTTAGAACGCAGCCGAATGTGTAGATGCCCATGAAGACTAGTGTAGGTTAGTAAAGGTTTGTAAGTAGCACTGAAGGAAAGGCTATGTCAACTCACTCATGATTCCCATGATGAGACGCCGGAAAAAGGGTCTGACTGCAATTCTCAAGAGGAAGAAGCCCACAGAAATTTTGACAAAGCAGATGGCGAAGAGATATATCGGCTGCGATATAAAGTTTAACTTCATTGCTTGTGAAAAGTTTTTGGGGTCAATGTATTCGATGTGTCGACCTGCGCCATAGTAGACCTGCGGTATGATTACGCATTGGCCTGCAATGCACTTTTCCATTTATCAGCGATTGAACAAAAAAGGAGTATGAGTTAACATACTAAGACCATTGACAGAATCATAGTATAATCCTAAAGAGGCGGAAACATCAGTAACTGTCGACCCACAGTGTTGCTGAAAACACTTACATCCCACCCCACATTGCGAATCATCCAAATGCGAACATAGAGTCTCGCTATCGTGGTTATCACCGCCAGGGTGAAAACCGACAAAGTGGCCCCCAGAATAGTAGGCCCTTGATTCTCATCTGGCCGTACCGCCGCCATTTCGGCGCGTTGAATCATGGTCAAGGAAGCGTATGCGCTGGATTGGGGAACTTGTGAGACCTCACACCCAGGCGCATGCCATGTTCTTAATTATGAGAGGGAATTCCCAAGCCGCCATGCTAACGAGCGACTGCAGCCAGCCGAAACCGACCACCCGCATTCATCAGGGGGCCCTAAGACTACAGGGTGAAGTGTCTTCTGAGACTGGACTCGCATAACCTTAAAACCGCCACACGGAGGTCGAGGGAATAGGTACCGTATTGTCAGTAATAGCCTGCTTTAATACGGTAGGTGTACTTAGCCCCAGCTAATAGGAAATCAGTCGCCATTTAATGCAATTGCCACTTACGGGCGGCTGGGAACGGACTTGAAGGTATTTGGGTTAGCTTTGCAGACAAGAAGGTGTTCATCCAGCATGATCTGGTTGAGACGGATGCTCGGCGGAGCATCCAGATGCGCTTGACCAGGTACGTGCTATGTATGCACGACATCAACCCCCAGGGTCCATGCGAGCAGCTGGTAAATCGACTCTCGTAGCGATGTCCGAGTGCGGTAAAGGGCGCGACTAACAAGTTGCTAGAAAGGATCGGTACTTGCAGCGGTATTGCCACGATGTCAAGGAAGGATGCAAGTATTCATCACATGAACTGCAGAGATGCTGTTCAGGATTGTAGCAGAAAGAAAAGAAAGCGTTCACGATCTGACTTTCTTGCCCCCCCGCCACACACACAACCGTTTGAGATGGAAGGGGGTGACATGGCCCTGGAACAGATTTACACTCTGCAGCTCACTGTACCACTCTCTACGTGGGTGGTGAAGCCGTACGGGATGTCATCACTGCCGATCCAGCCCGAATCTGCCGCGGAACTGGCCATCAGTCCATCGATAAAGAGCGAGATTACGTGAAGGGAAGTGTGATGAGCCGCACCTCGGACTCGGTAATGCATGTATTCGAAACTAGGCATGAGAATCCTCCAAGAGAAATCCTGGATCACCTCGCGGTATTGACGCGGTCAATATTCGGCGAGGGTACCCAGTCTAGGTGTGAAGTAGGATGGTAGATATGCTGCGGCTTACAGGACGCCATTTGTACCCCGCATACTGCATGTAATCACAGTAGGTGTAAGCACGTGTTTACATACATGTGTATGCTGACAACTAAACGTTGAGTCAATCCGTTCGCAAATGTGCTTGCTACCTGTCGCAACAACATGTCGAAAGAAGAGCGAGCATACCACGGGACAGGAAAAGGATAAAGAAGGCGTCCTCGGAGGGTAATGAGGTTTCCAGCTGCCATGGAACCGGTTAATATCGTGGTGGTTGGCCTGAATATCTTGTGCGAAGGCGGCACGCAGGTTTCAACAAGGCTTGACCAGTGCGCAATAGCCAATAGAAGAGCTTTATCCTTGGGTATGAATGCAAGTCAAGATTATCCAGTAAGACAAGACGTCTTGGTTGCGCCATAAAACGTCCGTGCGAGAGAGGAAGGATGCAGGTCGGGGAGCCGGCGTGGCACTTGGCAGGGCTTAACCTGCGCCAACTAATAACACCCAGCGGACATGGCTTCCTTTTTACCATGCGCCACACATTGTACTCAATCGAAACCAGGCCCAAACTGGTCAATCTAAACCTCGAAGGATCTGTATTCTCGTAAAGGCGCTTTTCTGGACGGCACGAAATCCAAAAGCTGGGGAAAAAAGACAAGACTCCGTTCTGGATCCTGGCAGGCACAGTAAGATTGCCAAGTCACCCGACGATTGCTACTGAAGGATCTGAGCTTCTTACGTAGACGCCTGCAGCAGTTGAGGCAGGGATACGGGGCCAGATCTCGAAGATACATCAATGCAAGCGTGGCGGAGTTGAAGAAATCCCTAGTCCGCTGTCCAGACGGCAGAACAACATATCGATTTTCCACCCATTACTCGTACAAACACATGTATTCAGCGGGAACGATAGCACCACTGATCGATCCCGCGCCCGTCTATCTAAGCGATCATGGGGGGCAATGGGGCAATGGGGCCGCCGGCTTCAGCTGAATCGCCAGGCTTCTTAGTGTTCGTCCAGAATCTCGGGAGCCTCTACCCGATCTGAACAGTCACTTGATTTCCCAACTACAGGCTTGGGACTATGCTATAGTTCGCGGTGGACAGGCTTTTATAAGGATAGCCCATTGACTTAATCTTAGATGTAGGATCTTAGCTTCCTAGAATGCATACTATTAGGCTTTCTTGCCCGAACTAGAGGAAAGATCATGCTCCAGAGACTTGCCTGTCATTGGTTTACACTACCAAATGGCCTCGACGTAAGCCCTAATGGACTTTGAATATGTCCTACGCCGTAGCCTAGCTGCGGTCGAGCATACGATTGGAGAATGGTTAGTGTGGCTTTCGGTATCCGTCGCCCCCAAATCCCGGCACTTGGGCACTGGGCGCCGAAATTACTAGAGAAGTCCTTGAGTAAGACACTGCTTTCTTTTAACTATATATCCTTACACGACATGTCTGCTTCTTTTTCACTGGCACTGCTTTCCATCACTTCGCTTTTTCACCCATCGTCTTTCTCTGCCTAAGCCTAATTCTCCGCGAGCTGCAGGTCAAGATGCGTTTCAACTCTCTAGCGCTCCTCCTTGCTGCTGGAACGGTGTCAAACGCACTACCAGCGCCACAGAATGATCCCTCACTACCTACTGAGGCCTCAAGTGACCCTGCAGTCGCCAGTCAGCAAATCGACCAGCTTGCTTCTTTCGCTGAAGAGCAGGTCAGGGCTGCACTAGAAGGCAACAATGCCAAACGGGGCACTTGCAATGCCAACAACGTTGCTATTCGCCGCGAATGGAGCGATTTGTCCAAGAAGGAACGCAAGGCCTACACAGATGCCGTCCTGTGTCTGCAGGCAAAGACTGGCAAGACACCTGCTTCGTTCGCAGCAGGAGTCCGATCCCGATTCGATGACTTTGTCGCAAACCACATTGACCAGACTCTTTTCATCCACTACACGGGCACCTTCCTCGCCTGGCACCGCTACTTCACCTGGCAGTACGAGCAAGCCCTCCGCAATGAATGCGGCTACAAGGGCTACCAACCCTACTGGAACTGGGCCCTGACCGCCCAGAGCGGCCTGGAAAAGTCCGCCATGCTCGACGGCTCAGAATACTCCATGTCCGGCAACGGCGAGGCCATCCCCAACCAAGGCGAAGTGGTCATCGCCGGTACTGGACCACCTGAAATCCGTCTTCCCCCCGGCACAGGCGGTGGTTGCGTCAAGAGCGGCCCCTTTAAAGACATGAGTAAGTAGTTCTTCTCTTCACCGTCCCACAAACCCAAACACCCCCCCCTTTACAACACATACATATAACTTACAACCCCCCAACAGAAGTCAACCTCGGTCCCGCCAGCCTCGACCTAACAAACGGTACCACAATCTCCAACGGCGACGGCCGTTCCTATAACCCCCGCTGCCTCAAACGCGACCTCACCGACTACTGCAACAAAAAATGGGCAAACGCAACCTCCATCGCCAGCCTCATCCTCCAAAACAACGACATCTGGAACTTTCAGATGACCATGCAGGGCTGGCCGGGTACCCCTGACCTCGGTGTCCATGGCGGCGGCCACTACAGCATGGGCGGCGACCCCGGGCGAGACTTCTTCGTGTCCCCCGGTGATCCGCTGTTTTACCTGCACCACGCACAGATTGATCGTGTTTGGTGGATTTGGCAGCAGCTTGATCGCAAGACAAGGCTTGGTGCGAGTGGCATTTCTGGAACGGGCACGTTTAGGGATATGCCGCCGAGTGCGAATACGACGCTCGAGACGGTGGTTGATCTCGGGTATGCGGCGAGTCCGCCGAGGAAGATGCAGGAGTTGATGAGTACGACGGAGGGGCCTATGTGTTATATTTATGTTTGAGGAGTGAGGATGGTGTCAAGGGAGTGGCTTGATTGAAAAAAGATTGGGTGTAGTTTATATATTTTTTTAATTGATGATAGACTTTATTACTTAACTAATATGTTTCTCATGAATAAGATGGTAGAGAGACTGACCATGTGTGAAGTACTTTTGCCGGGGTTGCTTCTGTAGTAAGCGTCAGCTAGGAGATGTTGATCAAGTATGGCATTGAGGTGTATTTTGAGTCCGAATATCACGCCATGCGAATAGGCTTATCCAGAAATGATCTCATTCTAGTCCTTCCACATAGCTTAAATCAGCAATTTTTTATCGCAACTGACATAGCTAAAGAGATACCAGACAATGTACGATAAACATGTCATGATAACAAAACGCCATCAAACGCCCCAGAGAAGAAGCCAGCGTCTGGACATGAATCTGTTCAGAACCCGGCATACATTACCCTCCTCAACCTGTCTCAAGACACAACAAGACCTCAATTTTCCCAGACTAGAAGATGGAGTTAACAATGTTTCCACCAATGGTAGCACCTGTTCAAAAATGTAAGCGATTAAAAGATGCCATTGACAATTTTGCTTCCAATTGTCGCACCTGCACCAAAGATAGCCGCGTTGCCGAGCTTCTTGCCAAACTTCTTGCCCTGCGTCTCCATCTTGCTGGGCTCGGCGGGCGGCGCCTGGGCGCCAGAGGCCACGTCGAGGGGCATGTTGCCGTAGTTGGAGGGAGCAGGGGCGGCGGGCGTGTAAGCGGGCATAACGCTCTTTTCCTCCTTCCGCACGTAGCTGGCGGGGAAGATGCCGTCCATGCCTGTGCGCTCGTTGCGGCCCTTCCACCACTCGTTGTTCATGTACTCAGTGACGGCGATCTTGTCGTTGGGCATGAGGGCCAGATCGCCGGCATCCTGGGCATTGTACTGGTACATGGCCGAGGCGTAGCACAGCACTGGGGGCCCGGCGGGGGCGGCGGGAACAGAGGGGTAGGCGGGCGGCGGCGCGTTGGCAGGCGCGTCGGCATAGTAGCCAATGTTGGCGGCCTTCTTCTCTGGTGGCGGCGTGGGCTGGCTCTGGATGTTCATCTGCGCAAGTTGCTGAGTCGGCACGGCGGCGGCGGGAAGCATACGGGTGCTGTTCTCGGCTGAGACGGGCAGCTGAGCAGCAATCGTATCGTGTTGCGCAGAGGTGAGGACGTTGGATTCGACGAGAAATTGGAGGTTCTGTCATTGTTTAACAAGAATCAACGTCGGGAGCAGAGCCGGCGCAGACTCACGTTCTTGATGTCGCCCAACGCTCGGTTGATCATGGCATTCTTGAAGCTGTCCGCCATGTTGAAGGTGGTTGGTTGCAATCCGTGTGTCGCTTTGAATGCGCAAAGGTATAAAAGGCTCCTTCACAGTCGGAGCACGATAAGTGAAGTAGTATGAGTTTGCTGGTTATGGAAAGAGAATGCAAAGTCGAGTGATCGAAGGGAGGCCCAAAGTTCAGAGTGGAGTAGAATACGAGGATAGGGTGTTGCAGGTGATTAGCGGCACACTACTCGGAATGTCTGCGCCGCATTTGGGGCTGTGCTTAATTTACCTGTGCTGCCTATGCGGCAGCAGTGGGACGCGATACTTATTTACGGACCATGACGAAACACGGCGCAATAGAAGCAACGTCCATACGACCAACTGTGCATGCGTTTCTACAGATTGAGGCTGTCGTGTCATTGCTTCTCTTCTGTGCAGCCATAGCATTGACTGCTGCGTATAGACTGAAGTCCAGGGTCTCCTGCAACTGTGGCTTAACAATGTCTCCCTACCCCGCCAAGCCCCCCCGCCCGTCTCTCGTCCGCGCCCATCGTCCACCCAATCCCAAGCTACGACAAGAACACTTGCTTCCACAGTTCCTGTCTCTTGTTCTCAAACGCGTCAAAAGCCTTGACTGTGAACCCAACCGGAATCTGCTCCCTGCCCTCAACCAGTCCCTTCCACGCCTCATCGGTAAACTCACTCAGCGGCATGCCAATGTTCCCTCCATCCTTGATATCTGGTTGATGCTTCGCATCGTGCAGTTCCGTCTGCACGGCTGGCGGAAAGATTTCAATCACCTTGATGTTTCCGGGTCCGTTGGCCAACTGGTGTCGCAAAGCGAGGATCATGTGATGCAGCGCCGCCTTGGAAGCGCAGTAGTTTGGACAACGCGGAAGTGGCATGAGCGCTAATCCAGATGTCGTGTACACGAGCGACGTCTCCTTCTCCTGTCTCTGCAGAAATGGTATGAATGCCGTGGTAAGATGCATGTAAGAGATGTAATTTGTTCGGAACTTCATTTCCAGCACGTCGAGATCAATCGTCTCGGGCTTGGAAAAGTCGAAGCCGCGCTGGATACCGGAGTTGAGGAACACGCAGTCGAGATCCGGGTGCTTGCTTATCACGTCCTTGACGAACTTGGGAATCTCATCCAGTTTCGTAATGTCCAGGACAAAACTGTCGACCTTGTCGCTGCCGTGCTGGTTCTTGAACTCGTCCAGCTTGTCTTGTCGCCGGCCTACGATAATGACCTGTTTACCATCTTGTACGATCCGTTCTGCCAGTGCCCACCCGATGCCCGAAGTCGCGCCAACTACAAGGATCTTGTTGTATTTGAGAGACATTGCTGCAAAGTATATGTATTTCAGATGTGAATGAGGGAACTTCGAGCTGGAATTGCCCAGGCGTTTATACCAGGCTTGTACCCGGTTATCAAAGACATCATCACAGCGCGACTAGCCAATCTGTGTCCCAGTCTAGCCCGGGCTATTTGATCCACCTGACGTATCACGACTCAGAAGGAGCGGACTCAAAAAAAAGTACTCGTCGTGCTATGATGTTACACAAAAGTTTCAGACGACATTACTGCAAGTACGTCATGATGATCGGTCCTTCGGCAGTTGTTCTGGTGCAAAAGTACGAGAAAAAAATACCAAAAACATACGACAGCGGGGATTCGCCAGTGGTCACCCACCTGACTACTAATCCGCCGGTAAACTGCTTAAGTATGGAAGATCAAACGGGGTTCCCTGGTATCCAGAATCCTATGGTCGTATGTACCATCTCACTAAATTAACTCTACTAAATTCGAAGGTCCAACATACAAGCCACAGCACTTGGTCAAATTTGTCAACATATGAACTACCCAACCTCAGAACTCATATCACCGCAAATCACACTAACCAAAATTAACAGTGATAAAAAGAGTCTCTAATGGGTATTCCGCTCCTACAGCTTTCGTTCAACAACGTCGTCACATGACAATGCTTGGTAGAAATTCGACTAGCGGCTTAGCACCGTAACAAGAAGCAAAGTACCAGCTTGTACGATGGATGCCGAAAATTTACATTCTCTTCTTTACCACGATTCTTCTATAAAATAGCGCTTTTAAAGTGTTCGAAATAATCACCGTTAAACTGTGTTGCCGCTGTCACTTGTCTTAGGTATATAATATTTCTCATAACGCCTCAATCGCCTTGTAATAATTAGGTGGAATGCGATTATGCGCATATATAAGCGTTTCTAATTACATAATCTTAACGACTAATGGGAGACTTATGAATAGATAAATGTTCATATATGTTAACTATATAATGGGGTTAGTGTTAGGGTTAGGGTTAGTAGAAAGAGTATCGTACTCGAAAATTAGAGATTAATCCATCGAATTGAAAAAAAATTCAAGGTACCTGCACTACTTCGCAGTATTAATAGTCTAGACTATTTTCTTAGGACTAGACAGCTGTAGCGCTAAGAACTGTGATTATGGAAAATTCGTAATCGTATTGTTTGTCGTGTATCTCTCGCTATTAAACCGTAAAATAACAATTTTTAATGAGTCGGCGTAACCGATTACTTTCAACAAAACTAGGATCTTATTTAGGAAAACATATATCAGGAACAAGCAGAGAACTATTGCTGAGGTCTCGTTTCGGGATAGTATCAAGTGCGACGACTGTTGTGACAGACTCCAGAGTACTTAGGAGGATGAGATTAGCGAGCAAGACGGAATAAACAAATGTCAGTTCGCGCTCAATCACATGGGACAAGTACATGCTGAAGGTTTTTGAGAGCGTCGTTTTTGTCGCCTATAGCGCCAGCTAGAATCTATTTTGAAGCAGTGATTATGGCGTTTTTGGGAAAATCCCTATAGTGTTGACTCGTTAGCAAGGATGTTAGGCGATTCATTATACCTAGACCCGCTGACATAGCACTGTTCAACGACTTTTGCGAGCCTGTTTGCCGAGTAGTACATATAATCGTCTTGTATACAGAGAAACTTCTCTTGTAATAATATATACGACAGCTAATCAGAGTCGTCAGCCCATAATAAGAACCAGGTGGTATGAGCAATCTTTCGATAAACCGTACGACTGTCGCATCAGCATGCCATTCGTCTGGATTACCTAAGAGCCTTCCGAGATGTGTAGATTGGCATGCAAACGAAATTGTGTTTGCGCTTTGCCTTTCCTGATAGCCTCTATTGCCTTTGTGATATTTAATGCTACGCTGCGTAATCTAACCATATGACATGACCGAGTCTGCTTTAGCTCGACTATCTCCTCTTGTATGCTATTGCTTGAAGGCGTTGGGGGATGCTATGGTGTATTTAACTGAGAGCTTGTTCCGATGGTATTTGGCAATTAGATGAAGTGTTATAATGTTGTAAGAATCATGCTCTTCAGACGCCTCAATCTCAGTGTCTGAAGATACGAACGGCTTAAGACTATGACATCTTCAGCAGCAAAGGCCTATTACACATAATATTAGATCTTGTTCGGTGCAATGAATCGAAGTCGTATGTTTCAACTAGTGTGGGGGTCTACGTATTTGAGAACAGTGGATCCGTCCGTTAATTCTAGTTTGATTGGTATCGTTCCGTACGGATACGAAGCCGAGCCGGATACCGCGTTAGGTTGTCTTGTTCATTCTCCGCGTTACTTGGCCAGACATCGTTAGCACAAACTCCTAGTAGCTACTTCTTTGCTCACGCATCTCATTTCTACATTCTAAATTGGTACAAAGAACGCTGTAAGAAAATGACGTACTCGCCGCTTACGGTATTCTCGCACAAGTTACCGATACGAGAGAGGTAAGCAACGCTAGGAAATAAAGCACGAAGTCCATTCTTATCGAAGACCAAACAATCGCTGATCTACATCACCGAACCGGGCTCTTCACATCCATGTCCGCGGTTTCTAACGCGTTTCTGACTACATTGTGAGTGCGATTCCTTAGAATAACCAAAGATTAGGCAGGAATGTGTTCTGGACATGGCCCCCCCCCCTCGGACTCTTCCGTTCAACGCCACTACTGGTGCCTCAACGATGTGTGGAAAACCTGCATTAGAAATTGGTTGGTGAGATTGAAGCACTGCATTTCCAAGAACCATGCCTGTACAGATCTGGTAAAAGAGATGCTGTTTACGGACGGATATCACCGCTCGACCCTCGACGATGCGATTGTCGACTCCATCTACAAGCTGCTTTCTGGGCGAACTCGTTCCGCTAAGGCTCGCGCCAAATGAAAAGAAAACCGATATGTAGTACGTATGCACACATCTCTCTCCCCTAGGGTATCTTGCGTAATCCATACACCCAGCTGTATCGGCCCTTCTTGTGGATAAGGGTTGCCGAACATCCCCCCGTCAACCTAAAGACCAAGAACCATGGCCCTTGGTCTCAAAAGAGTTAGCTTCGCTCCGATCTGGGCTGGATATGAATAGGGATTATGAATCAAGTATACTCCAGATCACCGTGTTAGGATCGTCCTCCATGAACATGACACTCTACATGCTGCATACGCAGATACTTACATTCCTACTGATACATTATGCAAAAAGTGCTTGACTTCTAATGGGAGTTTACTTTGAGGACAAGGCGCATATTGCGACATATGTTTGGGTTCAGCCAAGACTCATCAAACTAACATGACGTGCATCGTAGGTACCTTGTCTGCCATTGGTCAACATCACCAGTGAGATAAAATTCTTGATTCCGATTCGCCAGTTGAACACGTGGGAAAACTACCGAAGTAGACTGTTCCTATTGTGTACATATACTTACTGTGTAACGGTAAGACGGGTTAAGGCGGTTAGCGAATCGCGGATACCGCAACAGCAGACATGCTGCTTTACGATTGACCTGGTCTCGGATGGTTGTTAGCGCAAGTGCGGGCGTTCTTCGGTATATACCCATGCACAAGTGTAATTGAACAGGGACGCAGTCGCAATAATTCCTTACGGAGCTCAGGGTGCCTTAAAGGATAAGTCGGATGCCTCGGCCGCCAAATCAAGTATAGGAGAAATTTCCCTATTCAAAAACCTTCTGATTATAGCAGGACTCGCTATAGATGAATATGCGATTCATGGTTTGATGAATGTAGCAGTAGATACACTACTTGTTGCGGAACTTGCTGTTCGACTCGGGCCGCCCCCACATCACGGAGGCCACAAGTACTTGGACCTAAGCTTGGGCTTTGAGCGAAAAAAACGACAACGGCAACGTCTTTATAGTTTGGCCTAGCCTCATCGAACGAAGAGCCGTAGGGGTGTGCTAGCCTGCATGCTTACGGAAGGTATAAGAGCTATAATTGCAAGGTATTAGCAAACGACGACTCAGCGTCGCACACCACCTTATTCAACTGCTGAAACCCACCTACGACTGGCGACATGTTCGAGGCAAAACAAGCAGCAAAAATGTGCTGAAGTGACGGTATATCAGTACTCGAGACGGATGATAGTTCGGGGGTGGAACAGACTTGCGCCAAGCTACCAAGGCATATGCTAAGGCGCCACATCTGACCGGTAGACCATGCATTTGCGCCTCGTATCGCTGAGCAGAAATCGACAAGGATCAAGACAGCGGGAGCTGGTAAACCGCTCGGTATTTGCAGCCCCTTGGAATCTCATTTTCACAAATGGAACATGGGTCGAACAAGGATGGGCATGAGGGTCTGCCTTTGGTCATATGCTAATCTATTTGTGGGAGATACTCTTGGGCCCACATGAACAGAACGCTTTCATATGTAAATGCAGGGAGAGACTACCTCGGTCGTTCTGATCGATTGATCTTCTTGCTCTTGTGGTCGATTCCGAGCTCGCCACAAGTGTTCCATGTCACAACACCCCATCAGTCAGCCGATCTGACCATTTCGGCAAATACGGACTGGATATGAAGCCTCATGGGATCCTGAGATATGTTTGTGTCGTCTTCGCGTTGTTAGTTTGGACGGTCTCCTGTCAGCAACAGATGCCAGTATGCGCAGTAAGTGGCACGTTCCTTTCTCTTTGGGATGGCTTGCAGATACTAAGTTTGGGCAAAGACGCAATGTTACGAATCGAGCATCAACACGCAGACTACCTGCGCGCCAGCAGATTTAACATGCATATGCGCAGACCAGGCATACCTTGATGATGCCAAGCGATGTATACAGTCATCATGCACCACAATAGAAGCTCTGGGTTTGTCTAGAAGGTTTCGACTCGCTCAGTAACACACTGACAAACCCCAGCGGCCCGCAACACCACAGAAACCCTCTGCGGTCGCCCCGTACGGGACAACACGCACGTCGACCCCATCATAACCGGAATCTCGGGCAGCGCCGCGCTGTTTGCGGTAACGGTTCGGTGCATCACTGTAGGCAAAGGCTTTGCCCTCGACGACTTCTTTGTCGTGCTCTCCTTCATCGGTGCCATCCCCCTCGGTACAATACAATTTCTCAAGTCACACGATGGCTTCGGAAAAGACATCTGGACCCTCACTCCCGACAGCATTACTCGAATCTTGAAAGTATGTAAAGCACAGTCCAAACGTTTCTCCCAGAAAGAAGGTGGTGTGCGAGTCGGAAGGGGGAGAAATGGTACAATATATATGTATATCGTGGCTGACAGATAAAGTATATATGGCTAGCCCAGATATCGTACTCGTTCACGCTTTCCATGACAAAAATGTCATTTGTCGCCTGCTGCCTGCGCATCTTCCCAGGGACTTCGTTTCGCTGGCGCGCCTACGTAGTAATGGCCTTGTGCGTTACTTACGGCCTCGTCTTCACCCTGAACACCATATTCAACTGCACGCCTATCGACTACGTATGGACGAGGTGGGACGGCACACACAGCGGGACCTGTACCAACCTCCATGCCCTCGCCGCTTCATACGCAGCCGTCAACATCACGATCGAGATTCTGGTACTCTCACTGCCGATCCCAGAGTTGATGCGACTAGCAATGAGTCTGCGGAATAGAATTTTTATCATTGCAATGTTTAGTGTTGGCATTTTGTAAGTTCTTCCCCCCCCCCTCTCCTACCCAACCCACCGAAATATACGTATGCAAAAAGTCGAACATGGGACTAATCGTGGAACCACTTAGTACACTGATCGTATCCATTCTCCGCCTACGAACCCTCGTCGTCTTCGAAAAGTCAGCAAACCCAACTTACGACTCCGTCCCTACCGCCTATTGGTCCACCCTCGAGGCCTACGTCGGCATCTTCTGCGTCTGCATGCCTGCCCTCCGCCGCTTCCTCTCTCACATGTTCCCCCGCTGCTTTGCCTCGACACCGCAGAACTCGCGGTATAATTTGTACGAGGATAGGCACCGGCTGCCGAATCGCATTTCGCAGGGTCAGCCGAGGGACTCGAAAGCGACTAGTCTGGCGTCCGGTGAGAGGTTTGGGCTGGAGACGGATGTGCGAACGACGATTGTGAAGACGCCGGGGGAGAGTAGGGAGAATCTGAAGGAGGAGGATGAGAGGGTTATGCTGGCTGATTTGAAGAGTGTAAGGACGGAGGAGAGGATAGTATAAACGTTAGCGAGATATGGATTATGGGTAACGTGACGGATAAGCGAGTCGGTCAGGCAAGCGAGTCGGTCACCCTACCAACTTTGCGCACCCACCACACCTTTGCCTACAATGCCTCCAAGCCACGCTTCTCAGTCAATTTCTCACGAGGCAGATATTCAGCTTGCTCTC